GTATCACTGTAACTGCAAGTTGTATATTTAACAGTACTTAACCTCTGTTCCCTTTAAGTCTTACACTCCTCCCATGTCTTCCCAAGCCTTCATCATTCTTCTGCCAATGTTTCTCTTATTATATATTAACTTACCCATCACCCAAGTTAACACCTGATTATCCTCACACATAATAAACTTATAAAGGTATTAGGACACACCGGCAATAGTCCTAACTTGACTTGGGTTATCAGTATAGTGAAGTAGAAAGAAGACTGTTCTTTTTTTCACATACAAAACCAAAAACATATATTCATTTAAATGTCCAAAGGGCACATTTTGTAAGTCAGCCTCCTGCCCACAGGTACTCAGCCTTTCTCAGTCCATGGGTCTAGAGCCCTTAACTACTCTCTCTCTACGCCATTGTCTCAGCCACCATCTCTGCTGTTGCTGCTTTTCTGGTTAGGACTTCACACTCCCCTGATGCTCTTTCCTCCTGATAGCCCTAGGGTCCTCTGTTCCTGAAATGAAAGATTAATTACTCCTTTTTTGTTCCATGTCTTCTACTATTACAGTCGTGACAATCTCAATTAATCCTAATAAAAGTTACTCACTACTGAATCATAAAATCCTATCACCATCACCCTCACCACCTTTCACCTGATCCATCTGTAAAAGAGGAAAACTATTCAGTGGGGATTCTACCTTACCCTCCTCATTCTGAAACTAAGCACACTCATGAATGTTTGAAAGCCAGCTACTTCATACCTTTATAGTCCAATTTTTTAAAAGCTTTTATTGTGAATTGAGTGAGTGAAGGTTTACAGGGCAGATCATCAGTTTTACATTCAACACATCATTGCAAGGAATACAATCTCCTCCATGCGCCATCATCTAACAGTATTTACCTGTATTACATTTTTTTATGTACATATACCTCATTGAAAATATATATTTGTTTCAATGTCTAAAGGGCACATTTTACAAGGCAGCTTCCTGCCCACAGGCATGGGCCTATAATCCTCTGCTGCTCTGTCTCTCTATGGTATCACCTTTGCCACCATCTCTGTTGTTACTTTTCTGGTTAGGATCCCTTGCTCCTCCCATGCTCTTTGTTCTTGATGGTCCTAGGGTCCTCTGTTTCTGAAATTATATATTAATGGCTCCTCCCTTTTAGTTACACCTTGTACATTTACAGTTGTGACTATCACCATTAGTCCTGATAACAGTTACTCACAACTGAATCATAAAATCCTATTCCCATCATCACCAGGCCCATTTGTATACGAGGAAAACTATTCAGTAGGGTTTCTGTCTTACTGTCCTCATTCTGACACTAAGCTCCTTCATGAAAGCTTGTAAACCAGCCATTTCTTGCCTTTAGGAGGAAGACTCATTAACAACCTGAGATAAGCAGATGATACAACCTTGTTTACTGAAAGTGAAGAGGACTTAAAATACTTACTGATGAATATCAAAGAGCACAGTCTTCAGTATGGATTGCATCTCAATGTAAAAAAAAACAAAAATCCTCAACACTGGACCAATAAGCAACATTCTTATCAATGGAGAAAAGATTGAAGTTGTCAAGCACTTCATTCTTCTTGGATCAACCATCAACACTCAGGGAAGCAGCAGTCAAGAAATCAAAGGATGTATTGCATTAGGCAAATCTGCTGCACAAGACCTTTTTAAAGTGCTGAAGAGCAAAGATGTCAGCTTGAGGACTAAGGTATGCCTGACACAAGCCACGGTATTTTCAATAACCTCATATACATGTGAAAGCTGGATAGTGAATAAGGAAGACTGTAGAAGAGTTGATGCCTTTGAGTTACAGTATTGGAGGAGAATACTGAAAGTGCCAAGGGCTGCCAAAAGAGCCAACAGATCTGTGTTGGAAGAAGTGCAGCCAGAGTGCTCCTTAGAGGCCAGGATGGCCACACTTTGTCTCTCAGACTTTGGACATATTGTCAGGATGGACCAGTCGCTAGAGAAGGACATTATATTTGGTAAGGTGGAGCATCAGAGAAAAAGTGGAAGACCCCCAATGAGATGGATTGGCAAAGTGACAACATCAGTGGGATCAAGCGTGGCAACAATAGTGAGGTTGGCCCAGGATCAGTCAGTGTTTCGTTTTCCTGTGGATAAGGTCACTATGAGTCAGTACCAACTTGATGGCACCTAACAACAACAACAAACCAAACTCATTGACATCAAATCAACTGTAACTCATAGCAAACCCTATGTTGTTGTTAATTGCCCTCAAGTCAGTTCTGACCCATGGTGGTGGTGGTTATGTGCCATAGAGTCGGTTCCGACTCAGAGACCCTCTATAGGCTTTCCAAGGCTGTAAATCTTTATGGGAGAAGAAAGCCTCATCTTTCTTCCACAGAATGGCTGGTAGTTTAGAACTGCTAACTGTGAGATTAGCAGATAGACTTGTAACCACTACACTAACAGAGCTCCTTATAGTTTCCTAGGAGTGGCTGGTGAGCTTGAACCACTGACATTGCGATTCAAACGACTTTGCAGTCCAGCTCATTAATACACAGCCCCACACTAGGACCCCAGTGACCCTATATAGGGCACCTAATAACCATTAAATAAGTGGTGATTCAAAGAGTTCTGGTAGTGTAGTGGTTATGAGACGAGCTGCTAACCTCAAGGTCAGCAGTTCGAACCTGCCAGCCGTTCGAACCTGCCACCATGGGAGAAAGATGAGGTTTTCTGCTCCCACAAAAATTTACAGCCTTGCAAACCCTATTCAGGGATACTATGAGTTGGAACTGACTCCACAACACATATCCACCACCAAGTAGTGATTCAGTCATAGAATTCTCACCTTTCATGAGGGCAATCCGGGTTCAAATCCCAACCAATGCACTCTGAGTGCAACCATTGTTTGTTATTGGAGGCTTGTGTGTTGTTTTGATGCTCACTCTTTTTTAAAATATAGTTTTTTTCTACATAGAACTCCAGGCAAGAAGTGACTGACAAACCATATAAAACTGGATTTTAAAGTGCTTTGAGCATCATCTCATGTAATTTTTAAATTGTAATTTTGTCAGTCTAGCAGTCGTAATATACGCATAGTACTATAAGATAGTTTTACAAGATAGCTAGCTATCTTATAGATGAGAAAACCGCAGCTCAGAAAAGCTATATTCCTACCCAAGTTCACATACCCAGTAATGGTCACGCAAGCTCCAGCAAGACTTTACACCTAAGAAGCACACTTCATGCTGGCTTCCTTCCCTGACTCATTATTTTTGGGTAACATCAACAGCCTGAATAATTTATTTATGACTGCCCTCATGTGGTGCTGTAGGGTAAGCACTGAACTGGTAACCACAAGGTTGGCAGTTCAAACCCACTAGCCTCACCTCTGAAACCCTAAACAGGGTCACTATGATTTGGAACGAATCGATGGCACTTACAACAACAATCTCATTAAAAGAAACCCTGGTGACACTGTTTTGGGCTGCTAGTCACGAGGTTGGCCATTCAAACCCACCACCCATTTTTGTCTCAGAAACCCTATATAGGGTAGCTATGAGTTGCAACTGATTTGATGGCAATGTGTTTGGTTTGTTGGTTTTGTGTTTTGTTTTGTTTTTCTGTATCCTCATTAAACTCATTTTTCTCATTCATTTAAATGAAGATTTTAACTTTTTAAAAAATTAACAAGAGCCAGTGGTCAATAAGAATTTCTTATTCATAATTGAAACCATTCTAAAAATGAAAACATTGAAAAATACCATTCCAAGTCTTATATTTCTCTTTATCAATCCCCCTGTCATGTAAAGTATTACAGCTTATGCTTAAAATACAGGGCTACAATCAGAATTTGTGGAGATAGTTAATACAACAGCTTGAAAAATGCATTTTTTAACTTCCTTTTCCTTTCATTAATTATATTAATATTAATCGTTCATTTGGCTTTATCATCAACAGACCTTACATAAACTTTACACATAAATGTCTAGAACTGTGAGGTACAACGCTGTAACCACGAAACACATGAGACTACTGAGCACCTGAAACAAGGTTTGTCCAAATTGAGATGCCCTGTGCGTGTAAACAACACATGTGGTTTCAGTTAGTAAGAAGGACCCATGAGTGTTACATCTTAAAATAACATCTTTGATGTAGTTGTTGTTAAGTGCTGTCGAGTCGGTTCCGACCCATAGCGACCTTGTAGAGGGTTTCCAAGGAGCGGCTGGTGGCTTGAACCACCTACCTTGTGGTTCAAACGACTTTGCAGTCCAGCGCATTAGCCTACAGCGGTAAACTGTATTCTTAAAATTAATTTCACCTGTTTTTGCTTGTTGACTGTGGCTTGTAGAAATTGAAGTGAAAACAAGTGGCTTGATTTGGGGTTTGCATTATCTGCAAACTTTGAATAGATTCAAAGTAGTGTATTTTCTTTAAAATTTTGGAGGGGAAGAGGCTGAAGCTGGGCCACAGGTGTAACCTTCCATGACTAAAAAGGGAAGGGGGCGGATTTTGGGTGTAACTACTCCCCTCCCCCAGTGGTACTGAAGCAGGTGGCAGAGCTTCTTCCAAAGCCCCACTTTCCCTACCAGTGCTGGGGTCGGGCGGCAGCCGGGTCATTGAACACACCTGCTGGCCCACGGAGGTGCGTGTTCGCGAACCCCGGCGTCGGGCCCACACCCCCTCCCCCAGGATTTTTACTTTCCCGGCGCCAACCGTCAGTCTCGCACTTGTCTCCTGAGAACCAGCGAGCGGATCGGGCCCAGCTGGGTAAGCCTTCCTCTCTCTTTCGCCCCGAGGTTGGGCCCTGGGAGCCGAGATGTCCCCTCGGGGTCATCGCTGCCAAGCAGGGACATCCTGCGGCCCACACGCCGGTCACCCGGCTGCCGCTGCCAGCCGGGAGGGACTGGAAGAGTCTTAGCGAGCGCGCCCCGGGGCCTCCGGGCCGCGGGGGGCCGCTGTGACCCGCCTTCGCCCCCGCCGCGCCGAGGGCGGGGGCGCCAGGTTTTAGGAAGAATCAAAAAGCGGAGGGTAGTAGCTGAGAGGGGCGGGCGCAGTGAGCAGCGGGCTTGGCGTGTGCTCCGCTGCCGTCCGCTCTGCCCGAAGCGCGGAGGAGCAGAGCAGGGGCCTGCTGCCCTTCTCCATGAGGCCCGAGTGAGGCGCAGCGGCAAGAGCCGGCCCGCGGCGCCTCCCCCCACACTCTCTTCCGAGCGCAGCGGCCGCGGCTCCGGAAGGAGGAGGAGCATGTCGGACGGTTTCGACCGGGCCCCAGGTGCTGGTCGGGGCCGGAGCCGGGGCCTGGGCCGCGGAGGGGGCGGGCCTGAGGGCGGCAGTTTCCCGAACGGAACGGGGCCTGCAGAGCAGCCGCGGCACCAGCCGCCGCCGCAGCCCAAAGCCCCGGGCTTCCCGCAGCCGCCGCCGCTGCGCCAGCCCAAGACGGCTCCGCCGCCTGGGGCCCAGTGCGAGGTCCCCGCCGGCCCCCAGCGGCCTCCCCGGCCCGGGGCGCTCCCAGGTACGGAGGAGCTCTAGGGAAACCCCGTCCTCCCGGGCCAACGCCTCCCCACGGGCCTCGGCGCGCGCCTTCTACCCCTCCCCCGGTTCCCCGAAAGCATTCCCCGAGGGATCCGGGTTTTACGGGGTTGGGACGAGTGCGGAACCGGGCTTGGAAGGTGGCCGCCGGAATCCTTTGTGCGCCCGACTGGGGGAGGGGCCGGTGCGTGGTCCCCGAGTTCTGCCGCCCCGAGGGAGGAAGTCCAAATCGCCTCCCCAGCCCGACCCTCTCCGAGACCTCCAGCGGGCTACCACCTCCTCTAAAAGGACTCCTCACAAAAGGGAGAGAAAGAAACCAAACCAGATCTCTCAGGCATTCATTGGGGAGGCAGGTAGGCTCAGAAATTAGCTACAGCAAGTCTATTGTTCCTTTTTGCAGGCACTTTTTACCTAGCCCAGCGATGACCTTACATCTTGTGGTGATGATCCGCGTTTACCTCTAAAAACCAGCCCTAGTCGGATGGCTTTTTAGCTTACATTAAGTCCCTACACAAAGGAATGAAGGAATTTAACGTTTCCCACCCCCCCTTTTCAGAACAAGCGAGGCCCCCAAGAGCTCCACCTAGTTCCGAGGATAAAACCCCACAGCAGATCTCCGAGTCAGCAATGGCCAAACCCCAGGTGGCCGTAGCTCCTGTGTTAATGTCCAAACTGTCGGTGAACGCCCCCGAATTTTACCCATCAGGTTACTCTTCTAACTATACAGTAAGTACTCCCCTTTTACGACAACTTTCGGTGCATAATACTGGAATAATGTGATTGCTGCCTTATAAATCAGACTATGCTTTTTTTGTATTTTACATAAAGTTTTATTAATTGGTTGGACTCATAAGGAAACAACTTTTTCAGGAATATATCTCGAAGTTATTATATTCAAGGAGGTAAGCTTGAAAGTAGTGTTTGTGTTTTGTTTGCTGCTGTATTGCCAGCCTGGGCAAATAATCTGATGTCATAAAGTTAATTGTCAATCTGTGAAAGGAAAACTCTTTTCCAGACTTACTGAACAAAGTAACCTGGCAAAGTTAATTTTTTTTTTTTTTTTGGTACAATAACTGATTCATTAGTGGTTTTAGGATAAACTGGTTTTTCAGTAAATGTGAGGTAGGTTTTTGCATGTGGCCAAGTACATAATTTAGGCTCTTGTTTCTAGTGACTAACCTTCCACAATATAAGTTGGTTTTGTTTTTAAATCAAACTTAAGTTAACGGGAAAAAAGTACAAAGCATAGTTGGATTACATAGAATTTGTCCTGCTAGGTAAAACAACTTGAGTAAATGTGGAGGAATTAAGGGAAGTCGGGGAGGAGCCATGCTAATTGATAATACCTTACCCTTTTACCCACTGCCATCAGTCTGTTTTGACTCATAGCAACCGTGTATACTTCAGCATAATTTCTATCTTTGATATCCTAAGCTTATTGAAGCATGACCTAGAATAGTGTACACAGGGAAATAGGTCAAGCAATCACTTAGGTGACCAATATCCAAATCATGAACATTATCAACACCTGAGAGACCCTCGTATACTCTCTCTTGTTAGGTGCTGTCGAATCCATTCTGAAACACTGCCCTCTCCTGCACCATTCTCACAATTGTTATTGCTTACGCCCACTGCTGCTGCCACTGTGTCCATCCATCTCATTATGGGTCTTCTCTATTTCGCTGATGCTCTCCTCCAGAGACTGGACCCTACTGATCAAGTGTATTTGAGATGAAGTCTCTCCATCCTTGATTCTAAAGAGCATTGCAGCTGTATTGCTTCCAAGAGAGATTTGTTCATTCTTGTGGTGGTGTGCTGTGGAGTTGGTTCCTACTCAATAGCGACCCTGCATAGGGTTTCAGAGGCTGTAAATCTTTACGGGAGCAGAAAGCCTCATCTTTCTCCTTTGGAACGGTTGGTAGTTTTGAACTGCTGACCTTATGGTCCAATTCGCAACCACTGTGCTACCAGAGCTTCTATTCTGGTTGTTGTTATGTGCCGTGGAGTGGGTTCCTACTCATAGCGACCCTGTACAGGGTTTCCAAGACTATAAATCTTTACAGGAGCAGAAAGACTCCTCTTTCTCCCGCGGAACCACTGGTAGTTTCAAACTGCCTACCTTGGCAGTTCGCAGCCCAATTCGTAACCACTATGCTACCAGAGCTCCTTATTCTTCTGGTAGTCTTTAGTATATTTTTTGCTAACACCGTAATTTGTTATTTTTTGTCATTTCTTTATATAAGGAGGTCAGGTGTAAGGAACCCTTACGGCACAGTGGTTAAAGTACTGAATGCCAACCAAACGGTTGACAGTTGAAAAATAAGTGGTAGTCAGCTTCTGTAAAGATTTATAGCCTTGGAAACAAGATGGGACAATTCTGTCCTACAGGGTCACGGTGAGTTAGAATGAACTTGATGGCAGTGGGTTGGTGGATGAGGTCCGGTGTATCTTAATCCTCATAGTGACATCTTTGTTTCTTAACACTTTAAAGGGTCTTTTGCAGCAGATCTGTCCAATGCAGTATGCCATTTGATTTCTGGACTGTTGCTTCCTTGGGTCTTAATCGTCGTTGTTACATGCTGTTGAGTGGTTTCCGACTCTTAGCAACCCTGGATAGGGTTTCCAAGGAGTGGCTGGTGAGCTTGATCTGCTGACCAAATTAATGGGTCCTGGTAAAATGAAATCCTTGACAATATCAGTATTTTTTGTTTATCATGTTAGTTGGTCCAGTTGTGAGGCTTTTTGCTTTTGTCTTAGGACGTAATTCGTACTGAAGGCCGTAGTCTTTGAACTTTATTAATAACTGCTTTTTAAGTCTTATCATTTTCAGCAAGCAAGGTTGTGACACCAGGTTCTCCTCACTACCATTCTTCATTTATAATTGCTATGTTTACTTAACAGAATTGATTAGTTCTCAAACTTTAGTGGTTACGAATCGGGCTACAAACCCCAAGATCAGCAGTTCGAGACTACCAGCCGCTCCGCTCCCGTAAAGATTTACAGCCTCGGAAACCCTGTACAGGGTTCCTATGGGTTGGAACCAACTCGACTGGGTTGGAACCAACTCGACCGGCACTTAACAACAACAACAAACACCATGTATGCTTTTTTTTTTTTTTTATTAATCCATTTGTAGCATGTAATTGCTAAGTGGCGTCAAGTCGGTTCTGACTCATAGCGGCCCTGTATAGGGTTTCCAAGGAGCGGCTGGTGAATTTGAACCACTGACCTTAACAGTTCAAATCAACCTTGCGGTGCAGCACATACTCACGGAGTCACACAGGAGTCCAGTATGTTATTAAGTGTTGAGTTGGTTCTGATTCATAGCAGTCCTGTATGGGGTTTCCAAAGAGCTACTGGTGAGCTTGAACCTCCAACCTTGAAGTCCAGCGCATTAACCTACAGTGCCACTCACAGCATTTTATTGAGTGACTTTGCCACAGTCTGTCTATCCGCTTCTGATGATGAACACAATCAACAATTTCCACTTTAGGGAGCTAACAGTGCTGCTAGTCCTGTCCTAAGTCCTGGTGGACATATGCCTTTATTTCTGTTGTATTAATACCCAGGAATGAAATTGCTAGGTCCTAGGTTAACCATATACCCAACTTTAGTTGTTGAGTGAAGTCAAGTCAGTTCCAACTCATAGTTACCCTATATAGGTTTGAACTGCCAACCTGTGGTTTGCAGTTTGGTGCTGATTCAACAGTGCCACACCAGGACTGCAACTTTAGTTGCTGTTGTTAGCTGCCATTGAGTCAGTACCGACTCATAGCAACCCTGGAGAGGGTTTCCGAGGCTGAAAATCCTTACGGGAGCAGAAAGCATCATCTTTCTCCTGCGGAACAGCTGGTAGTTTCGAACTACTGATCTTGCAGTTCGCAGCCCGATTCGTAATAATTCATGGGAGTGTGGTGGCACTGTACTGTGAACTATAAGATCTGCGATTCAAGTCTGCCAGACACACCTCAGGAGAAAGATGAGGCTGTTTGCTCTCATGAAGATTTACAGCCTTGTAAACTCTATACCGGGTCTCTGAGTCAGAATGGCTTCCAAGACATTTAACAGGCACCACCACCACCTGGTAGCTTAGTGGTTACGAATCAGGTTGTGAACCACACGGTCAGCAGTTCGAAACTGCCAGTTGTTCCGTGGGAGAAAGATGAGGTGTTCTGCTCCCATAAAGATTTACAGCCTCGGAAACCTTGTACAGGGTCGCTGAGTCGGAACCAGCTCCACGGCACACAGCCACCACCACCACCAAGTAAGTTTTCTATAGCAATTGTTAACCATGCATACTATGTGATTTCCAGTTGTTTTACTTCTATAGTACTAGATGTTTTCTGTTGAAGGTTATCCTTTCTGGTGGATGTGTAGTATACTAACTGTAGTTTTATCTCAGTGATTTAACTTGATGATTAGTGATGGGCCCATGCACCTTTTTAAATATTCATTGGCTGTCTTTCCATATTTGATAGAAAGTCTTTAAATAAAGACTATGCTCCATGTTTAGGAAAGTCCATGCATCTTAAAATTCTTAAGAAAAGCTTTGGGTTTGGAAAGGAAAAGTATACACGTAGCAGGAAGAGCAATTAATTTGGGGGCAAAAGGGACATCTGCCATGTAAAGTAGAAATGAGAGCAACTTGGGCTCTTGCCAGAAGCTTTCATTTGGCTCAGGGAGGCAGAGGAGTCATTGGAGAGCTGTGAGTAGTTGAATAAAGTTGGCCTTGTAATAGCCATAAACAGCTCCCTATTTGTTTTATCCGTGTTGACTTGGGCTGCTTTATGATAGGATGGATGCAGTTTTTTTTCCTAGTCTTCTACCAACTATTTTTGTAGTTTGAGACTCTTGGACTATAGAGTGATGGTGTATTGAATCATGTTTGTCCAGTGGTTTTGAGCCACTATCATCTTTTAGGCATGGCTTGCTGTCCTCCCGCTGATCAGCTCCCCCTGTGCTCAATTCACCAGGACTGATTGCAAACTGAAAATCCATGGTTCACATGTGACTTGCAGGTGTATCTTTTTTGGCCTTCAAGGTGTATTTTTAAAAGTTTCTTAGTTACCAACATTTAAATTGATAACTGCAAATCTGGTTTCTCTGAAATAAGAACTGGCATTTTAGGTTGAGCAAAAACTGACTGAAGTTGCTTAGAGACAGCTGTCTTTAGAGCACGGAAGCTCCATCTAATTTGTCTCTGGGTTACTTCATTTGCTTGTAATTCATCTGGATTCTGCAGACAGTCAAGCTTGCTAGTACATACTCGAACTTAGTAGTTTATCCTGTTAGCCTTTTGGTCCGGGCAAAATTTTTCTAAATTCTCTCAGTCACAGAACTGAATCTTTGTTTTCCCCTAAATCTTACGGGGAAAAAAGTCTTGTTGCTTACAAGATTTCCTTATGGTAACCATAATCCAGGGCTAGCTGCATTCGCTCAGTCACTCATTCCACAAATAGTTAACTACTTATCAAGAGTCAGGCTTTGGGGAGATAAAGCCTGAAAATCTTTTGTTTGGTATCCTGTACTAACTCTGTGTCAGGAATGTATTTTTTTTCCTCTAACCTTCATATAGTAGTCTTTCACTCTTTATACCTGTGAAAGCTTTAAGCTCTTTTATCCTCATTCCTCTCTTTCTACTGCTAGAATTTCCTACTTTATACCTGTGAAAGCTTTAAGCTCTTTTATCCTCATTCCTCATTTCTACTGCTAGAATTTCCTACTTT